CGGAGGCTCGCAGCCGGGCGGGGCGGCGGCGTCGCGCTCGGGGGCGCTGGGCGGGCGCACGGCGCGGGGAGGGAGAGGCGTCGCCTGCAGCGCCGTCGCGGGGCGCTCCGCCCGGCGCTCGCTCCCGAGTCCCGGCGGGGCGGGCCCGGCGGTGGGGTGGGGTGGGGCGGCGCAGGCCCGCCGGCCACGGGGGCCCGGGCCCAAGCCACGGAGGCTGCGTCGGGCCCTGGCCTCCAGCAGCGAGGGGGCCGCCCGGCCGGCGCAGGTGCCTCTCAGCCGGAGCCGGAGCCAGAGCCCCGCTTCCCCGGGCCGGCTCGGCCGGGCCCTGCCTTGGGCCCGTTTCACCCTCGCCGGAAGGGAGCGGCAGAAGGGCTCTCCGCGGAGGACCGTGCTGCCGCGTCCCTCTGGCCTTGCTGCTTTCTCCCGCATCGCAACCTCCAAGCGCCCCCCTGGCGCTCCTGTGCCGGCGCCAGCCCACCCGCACCTTGGCCTGGCCGTCGTCCTCGCTGCGCCCGAGGCAGCCAGTCTGGAGCAGGCAGGCTGCCGCCCACTCGGCCCCACACTGGCAGCGCCCCGGCCCTCGGCAGGGAGGCAGCACCACGCAAGGACGTGAAGGCCACAGCTGGGAGCGCTGCACGGGTGCCTCTGTGGCACAGGGCCCTGCGCACGCCAGGCATGCCATGCTGCCCTGCAAGAGCACGGGCGCCCGTCCGCACGTTTGCATGCCCCTGCTGCCAAAGCCGTTCTGCTCTGCCGGGCATCTGGGCATGATTGCAATAATCATGAATGAACCTCATGCCACGCTTCCCCTGGCGCACCCCCACGCCCTCCAGGCACCGCGCACGAGCAGGGCCGGCCTGGCTGACCTAGTTATCAGATCAGGCCACCGGGAAAAGCCCTTCGCGCGCCACTTGCACGTTTTCCTTTCTGCGGGGTACGTTCGAGTCGCCGTTGTTTGTGAGGGTGAACATGATGCTCAGAGTGCTTCCCGTGCTCCTTCTCAGCCATGTCTAGGCTTAGCCCCACCCATATTTTCATGGAGTGCGTCTGTGAAATTAGCGGCACCTCCAGGTGAACAGTGTGGCCTTCACGCATAGGAAAGGACATGGGTTAGACCCCCATCCGGCTCACTGGCTGCATGGAATGGAGCCCCTGCTTGTGTCCGTGGCGATTTGTGTGCTTCGAACTCGCATGGCAGAATTTGGCCTGATGGCTTCACTGCATGGGAGGCGAGCAATATTGTAATCCAGGGCCAAATTATTGCTTCTGTTCCTCATAAAAATAAGCATGGTCGAAACACCTCTTCCAACCACCACCTCACCCAGTGTGGGGCCTTCCTCCGGCCCCCGTGTGTGAAATAGTCTCTCGTTTGAAGCCTCCAGGCTCGCCCTTCTTTCAGCACTGTGGTGAGATGGCCCTTCAGACCAGGGTTTTGAAGACTCTCGGGCCTGAGGGAATCGACCATCCACGGCGTTTTTACAGAGCAGTTCTTGCCTGCTTTTTTCCCAGCTGTTTAAAACTTTTTAAATATTTTGTTTTTATGCAATTTTTATGATACTTTATATCAGTTTTTTGTAAACTGCTCAAAAAGCTCCAGCTAAGGGGCCATATAGAAATAAAATAATGAAATCAAATTATGGAAGCAATTTGTGGATGTTAAGTGCTGTCAAGTCATTTCTGACTTGAGGGAGCCCTCCGGAAGGTACAGGCTGTGATAGCCCTGCTCAGCTCTAAATTTGGGGCAGTGGCTTCCTTTGTGTTCGGGGCAGTGGTGTTCCTTTTCACCCCAGTTAATGAGCAGGCGTTTGTTACCAGAGAGCTTAACGAGGCCTGCGTGCCAGGACCTGACCACCTTCCATTTCGAGGAAGTTCAAGGGCGGTTGCAGGAATCTGCAGGAGCGGCATGCCATCCTGTACCCATGGATGGGGCTAGTGCCCCCCCCCCTTCTGGGCACCACCGTTTAAGAAAGATGCAGGCAAGCCAATCAAGGTTCCAAGCAAGGCAAGGGGACTGAAACAAAGCCCTGTGAGCAGAGACTGAAAGAACTGCGCATGTTTAGCCTGAGGAGGAGGAGAGTGATGGGAGGTGTGGTAGCACAAGCACTTGAAGGGCTGTCGCAGAGGAAGGCCAGGCTCTCTGGGGAAACGGGCTTACAGGAAACCAGATTGCAGCCAGATACCAGGAAAAGCGTCCTCCTGTCAGAACAATACAACGGTGGGACCAATTCGCTGAGGAAGCCGTGAGCACTTCCCCCAGAAGCACCCGTGATGCAAGGGGCAGCCATCAGAGAGGGCTAGTTTGGCTGGGAGTCCTAGACTGAGCTGGGGCTTGGACTCGGTGGCCTTTCTTAGCCCGTGCAGTTCGACTGTTCTATGATTCTACTCAGTATGTTCACAAACTAACCTACAAGAAGCTCACCAAAATTCAGAATAATAAGATGGGTGCACAGCTATGTCTGGTGTGCTTTTAAAAAAGAAGCTAGCACCAATTAGCCAATTTCTCCTTTGAATGCATGTCAGGACTGATTGGAATTAATTGCATTTCATCTTCCAGCAAATTCTGGACCAGCTACACTCTTGGCCCCCAGATCACATCCCCGTGTTTTGCAAAAATCTGACAGAGTCATTAAAACAGCAAGTCAGAACCCTTTAGAGCAAAAGCTCATCATGCGAAGTCGGCTGCCTGGCTGATCGCCTCCTGTGCCTGCATGCACAGCGGTCCTCGCCACGGGTGGGTGGTCTAGTCAAGTCTCGTGAAAGGAGGACGGTGGAGTGACAGGAATGGGCAGGCTGAGCCGCACCCCCCTGGCCTCATTTGCTCGCCTCCCACTGCTCACTATAAAATCCAGCTCTTGGACCCTCCTTGGAGTAAAAGCAAGAGCCATCTTGCAACAGGGAGAAAAACTACTTGTAACCGTTTTCACATCGAGGCTTCCTGTAGAATCACCCAACGAGGCAAAATGAGAATAAATGGCCAGGTTTGTCATTTCCATCCCTGCCCCTACAAGTCCCCATCAACTGCCTGTGCCATCAGAGCAGAGCAGCCAAGGCTAATGGCTGAATTGTAAAGATTGCTCCACCTCCTACTTCCCTTTTGCTCCGTCAGAAATCTTTCCAGGCGACGCTTCTGGTTTTCCCCTCCTTCTTCAGGCTTTCATGTCATCTGCCTGCCTCTTCGACATCAACATCCCCTGCAAATGTAGCAAATATTTACCCTTCAAAACTATTAAAAGTCTGACATGTGTTTTTTAATACAAGCCAAAATTCAGTTTACTTGGACATTAATCAAATGTCCCTGCTTATTTCATTTGTCAACGTGCTCATAAGAATTTTCTACCAGGAGTTAAAGGCATTTATATGGAACGACATCTTTCAAAAGCGATGTAGCAGATTCCAATCCAGGGCCTGTTTGATTGTGACAAGACATTTGATGGCTATACTTTGTGTGTACCAGCCATGCCAGAAATCATTTGCTATGCACAGCCACAAATTATCTCCTGTGAGTGCCTTTTATGATGCAATTAAAAACAAACAAGTGCCAGGCATTTCCTCCGAAAATTATCATGAAATTCCATTTGGATATGGATCATATGCGATTCATTATGCTCTTTACGGCAGAGCAAGAAGTGAAAACCATTGTTCACCCTTAGAAGTATGTGCGGGTGATGTGAAAGATCTAGGATAAAGGCAGAACCGTCTGAAAGGGTCTGACTGCAGGCGCCAAGGCGGATGCTGCCTTTCCGTTCATGATCCGTCAGTGTGTGGGCCACCCACCCACCGGCCGCTGTGGCGAGGGCCCCTGCGTGCAGCTGGGCGCTTTCTGCAAGGGGGCAGGTCCCTCTTGCACCTTCTGCTCCCCAGAGAAGGCCGCCCAGAGGGGGAGGCCACCTGCAGGAGGCCGATGCTTTGGGCAGAGCAGTATTCCCTCTTCCTGCACAATTCATACTTCTTGTTTGCAGGAAAGGGTCGCATTGACTGCGAAGCGTATGGATTACATACATACAGCGGTGCTGTAATCACGGGTTCCAGTCCTGGCCAGTTTGCACATGGCTGCCATGAAGCCCACTGAGCAACTTTGGCCAGGCACAAGCTCTCCGCCCGGCCTACCTCGCAGGGTCGTTGCCAGGACGGGGAGGAGCTGTGTGAGCCCCTCGGGTTCCACCCGAGAGGAGAAGCGCTGGGAGGTGAAGGCGCTGCCGCAGCCGTGATGGGAGCGGCATCCTGCTTAACCACGGAAGGGCATCGCCGCGATGCTGGCCGGGAGGGGCAGGAGGCCGCCCCCACGGCCACGCGCACAGCCGTGCAGAGCCCCCCTGGAGGCGATGGGCAGGCGGGGAAAGGGCGCCCTCCGCCGCGTGCGGGAACTGCCCAAAGCCGGCGGAGCTCGGCCGCCCGGGACCCTCGTGTCCTTCCCGCCCGACGCCGGCCCTAACGGGGCCTGAAGCCGAAGCCGAAGCCGAGCCCGGCCGGCCGGCCGGCGCTCCGCACGCGGTCGCTGCACGGACGGGGCGGCCCAGGCGGCGGTCCCCGCGCCCGGACGCGGCGAGCCTCGTGCGGAAAGGCGCTTGGCCCCCTCCGGTGTGGCGGCGCCGCCGCCCGGAGGAATCGCCCGGGAGGGGAGGAAGCGCGCTCCCGAGAGGGTCCCTGCGCCCGGGCTCGAATTGCGGGGTCCGCGCCGCCCGCCCGCCAAGCAGCCCCCGTCCGCGCTGCAGTCCGGCCCGGGGCAGGGGGGGGGGGCGCACGCGGAGGTCGCGTCCGGACGAGCGCGCGGGCGCCGGGCGGGGCTGCCTGGGGAGGCCAGGGGCGGAGCGGGGGGCAGGCCGGCTCCGGTTGCCCGGGCGGGCGGCGTCTCCCGCGGTCTTCCCTGCAGAGAGGTCTGCCAGGCCGCACATCCGTCACGGGCGGGCCGAGGATCGCCGGGGCGCGGGGCCTGAGCTGGGCAGTGCAGGCTCTCCCGGCTGGGGCTGCCCGACGCGTCCAAGGCTGGCGAAGAGGGAGGGACGGGCAGCAGCGCTCGAGGAAGGCGCGGAGCCCCTTCCCACCCTGTGTGAACAAGCGCCCATTCATCGCTTGGCTGCCGGAGACCCCCTGGCATGCGCTCGCGTGTGTGTCCTCTTAACAAGCCTTTTAAATCTGGAAATTTCCCTTCCGAATTCAGGTTAGCGTTTTGCGTCACGGCCCAGCAGGGAATCCGGCCATTGCTGTTGAGCGACTTTTTGTGTAACGTGCAATTTCTGCTCGCAACTTGGTCCAAGAAGACCCAGCAGAACCTCCAGGAGGAAGGAGGCCACAACATGCCCTGGCCCACGTGCGAGGCAGAGCCGGCTCTCGAGGCTCCCCTGGGCACGGAGGGGAGTATTTGGCGCACGGCGCATCATGCATCACTGTAGGATAGCTCACTGCAGGCAAACCGAAGACAGCATGCTTAGCCTCATCCAAAACAAACGCTGATGCAAACAACACTTACAAGAATTTACCTTCAATGAAAAGGGCCTTTATCCACAGAAGCCCTTCCAGTTTCAAATCATGCTTTTGTGAGAATCATAAATTATGGCCATCTATAAAAACAAGAGCAAAACATGGTTGTAACCTTTTAAAATGAGTTGTATGTTGAAGCTGAAATTTTGAGTTCAGATTGCAGGCTTTGTGGCTGGGGGCAATGCTGAGCATTAATGCGAAGTTTGAGGAATGAGGAGAGCGCTCTGAGAAACGGACCAAGCTCCTCGCTGCCGCCAATCTTCCTCTGGGAAAGGCCCAGTGGCCGGAAGCCCGGCTCAGTATTGTGGCAGATTTTAACGTATTAAAATATTCGAACATGATACGATGGTGAGGAAACACATTTCCGCTCATTCTCGAAAATCCGAATTAAGCAGGCCGGCACGCCCGACTTCCAGCCCCAAAATGCGCAGCAACGCGGCCGCCTCGCGATCGACCGCGAACCCAGGGACGCCCGTTGGGCCGCGGGACAGCCGGCCGCCGCCCGTCGAGTCCGGGAGCGGCGCCGCGGCGCCTCCGCC